GTTGTGTTTTCGTTTGAATTTAATTCGTGATGAAACACGAGAAGGGATAATCCAAAATGTGTCAAATGTATGTGAAATTGCAGAAGGAATTTGTAGAAAAGAAGAAGAAGGACAGAAAGAGATGTTTTTTAATCTTCGTGTTTGGGGAACACCAGAAGATTTAATGGCGTCGCTTTGTTATGATTAAGATCCTAAAAAAAATTAGTCTTTATACACATAATCCTATATATAATAGTTGGGTTTCACTCACAGGAAAATGACACTTCAGTACTTCTCCTTCTCCCAAATTAGGGTTTCAAAATTTTTTTTTTTCTAAAAATCAGATTTAATTAAGAAAAACTTCAGTTTACGTAATGAGGCAAGTCTCTCTTTCTTTCTTATGAACCTTTCACTTTCCGTATTCAATCCACAAAAAAGTCTTATCCAATTTTCAATCTTAAATTTACTTTCAATTAAGGTTCAGATTCTTAAAAATCTTATATATAATAGTTGGGTTTCACTCACAAGAAAATGACACATCAGCACTTCTCCTTCTCCCAAATTAGGGTTTCAAAATATTTTTTTTTTTTAAATCAGATTTAATTAAGAAAAACTTCAATTTACGTAATGAGAAAAGTCTCTCTTTCTCTCTTATGAACCTTTCACTTTCCGTATTTAATCCACAAAAAAGTCTTACCCAATTTCCAATCTTAAATTTACTTTCAATTAAGGTTCAGATTCTTAAAAATGTATTGTGCGATACATGCCAATATGCCATGTACTTCATCTTCTTATTTATTCTCCATGTCCTTCCTCCTTCTTGAGGGTTTCCATAATCACATTTGTACATGTAAACAATTTTTCTGAGTTTATAAGGTCTCTCCCTTGCATCTTCTCCGCCCTTTAGGAGTGAGTAGATAGGTTTGCGTTTCTTCAATGTCTCTTTTTCCATCTGCTGGTTATTTTGTATAAACAAGAGTTTATATGTATGAATCGTAATATGAGATATTCAGTGGATCTTGGTGTTTGACATATGATTGGTGTTGTTTTTCCTGTTGAATACGGTATTTATTGTACAGTCGGAATGGACGCTCTGAGAATTAAATTTCGATTACAAGTTTTGAATATAGACGCAGGTGTTCGGGAATTTTGTTTATCCGTGTTGGTTTTCCATTTACACAAACTACAGTGAACCAATGTCACCTTCCCATTGGCTCTCTAATCCGAACCAACCGGCATTTGCACGCACAAATCGAGCAAAGGAGAACAATTTTGGTCTATAATATAGTTTCTCCTTTGCTCTTTTGTATTTTGGCTTGGGTTTTGATCAATTGGTTGTTAACCTAATGTTACAGATCATTGCACTGGAAAACTAGATGCGCAATAAGATATGGTCTCATATCTTCCATTCCATGGGATTTCTTTAACATGTGCGCCAACAAAAAGAAGCTTTCCTCTCTCTTTGGTACGTTGCATACTGTGTTGGAATGATCTATTTCCACAAGAAGATACCTTTATGCAAGAAACCAAATAAGGTGATTCTTAAATCATGCATTTCATTTGAACAATATATATTAAAGGTGCTTGGAAAGAGGGAATTACCTGTTTCCATAGTTGGTAATAACACTAAACAAACAATGTTAATATACAAGTGTTTGCTAAAGCAACGAAAAAACACGGTTTACACTGAAAAAGAACTATATATGCGCTACAAATTAGTTTTAGAATGGCTACTGATGGTTGAGGAGGTGAGCTCTATGNATACGTGAACAAAACCTTATTACTCAAAACAATAGATCATGTGAAGAGTTTCATTCCTTTGTGGTTATTATATGGGCAAGTTTTTTTCCTTCTACCTTCTATGTTAGTTTTTCAGTCTTTTTTGGGTTTATAAGTAGAAGTGGTACCACTGTAGCNTACATCACATGGTTAGGGAGGGTCTTGTAGTGTTTTCGAAAAAGTGTGCACNTATACCATTATCCNAATTTAANCTCACTCTTATCCAAATTGTATCCTCCATCTCTGCTATTATTGATTTCTTTACAAGTCCTGGACTCATGGATATGCTTGAGTAAACTTTAGAAGGTGTTTATAATTATTGGTTTCACAAGGCATGTCAATTCATGAAAGTGAGGAACACAAACGAAAATAAAATCGAAATAGTAAGACATCTTATCTTATTCACGATGTGAAAAGCTTGATGGTCTTAATGATATCTCAACTAGATGACAAATGGACAAGTTAAGATATATACTTCATGTTGCACCAACTTGATTTACCAAAGTCTTCAATTTTGTATAACGAAAAAGAAATGATGAAATTGACAAAAAAACAAAAAAAATGATGAAAACATTTTACAAAAATATCAAATAAAATCACTAATTTTTCAATTTTAAAAAATAGAACAAGAAGAAAAATCCGCGTGTATATGCGGGTATTCACCTAGTGTGTATAATGAATGTTTGAGTTTCATTCATG